AGAGAGGGAGAAAAAAAAATACAGGAAATACCGCCACTCTCGCCCGGGACACTTCGTACTTAAGGTGAAGTGGAACCCCCTCAAATCAGTCGATTGGAATAAAACTCGCTTTTTTAACGATATTGGACCGGACCGTCCGAAACTCTGACACGTGACTTGTGATCACACATCGATCTTAGCTATTTAGGAAAATCTTTACCGACGTCGATCAAGTTCCTCGGCGGGTTTCACTTCACCTTAACGCGGAATAACTTCGCCACAACCTTCGCCGGTAACCCGGTATCGCTTTCGACGTTTCCCGCGGAATTAATGGATGTGCAATTACCGCCGTTGCGCCTTTACGACATCCGAGAGACGTCGCGCGAGGGACTTCCCTTCTCGCATCGCGGAAGCTGCGAACCTAAATTATTGCGGAATTAGGCCTCGACGCGTGATTACGGCATTATCAAGTAAACTCGCGTTAAGGATTTCTGCGGAGAGCGCTGATAACCGGATAGCGACGCCCGGTCAGTGGGTGGTGACGATTTTTCCGCATCTCTCGTTATCCTCGACTAATTGCAGACTCTACGTGACGAATGTATCATCAATGCAAATGTGCCTGGCCCTGTGGGCAATCAATGATCCGACGGAAAAATGCAAAGAAAAAACACGAAATATCGTCTCCTGGAAATTTGACCCGGGGCCATGGGAGAGCCGATACGAGGGCGATATCCCAAGTATCGTTAATAAAAATAAAAAATACAGTAAAGCGGTCTCTAGATTTAGGGCCAAATTTCCAGGACGGTATAAAGTCTTGATCTTTTCGACTGAATTTCGAGCTAGGGGGTCACCGGGTCCCGGAGGATTCGAGGGATCGTTAGGGACGTCGCCTTGAGTCGGCATGCGTGGGAGCGTGAGAAACGCCAAGAAGAGACCCCGGTCTCGAAGGGAACTTAACCTAGAGAGATTAGACTCGCGGGAGTGCGGTGTCAACGGTACACCGGAGCGAAGCCGTCGTGCAACCCGAGCCCGAGGCCAAACGACGTCGTCCCGGTCGTCACTAAGTGCGAAACGACTTGACGCGGTCCTCTCGACGCGGCGAACTCGGGGGGAAAGTCGCGAGCTCGAAGTCGAGGGGCGTCGATGGTGACGTCGTTGACCCCCCAAGGGGTGGGACTTCATCAACGAGCGGATCGTTTGGGATTTATTCACGGGTCTATTCTGGGATCCAGGAGAGCGGGGTACTTTGTTATCCGGCGTTACATCTGTCTATTCCTATTTCAGGTGAAAGCGGCGTTAATTAATGTCCAAGTACCCTAGGTGAATCATCCCGTCGCCATGACGCACCGCCGAAAATCCATCTGAACACTTATCGATGGGACGTCACATCGGATTCACCGGTGAAAGAGGTAAATCTAGCGTGAGGTAGTTCGTGCATGCTCTCGTGCGTATCTACCTTGGGTCGTTAATTGGGGCGAGGAAGGCGTGAAAGGCTTGAGAAACGTCGATACAGTTTTCAGGGTTTGATGGGTGTGCCGGTCGGATGCTCGATACGGCTTCGATGATTTATCAAACGGAGGGCGGTCAGAACGACCTGCGGATGCTTCCCTCATGCCACGAGGTGGGACTCAACAACTGGTCGAATTTGGCAGGAACACGCCTCCACACGGGCAGTTAATCACGAAGGGATATCGAGGCGATCGGCATGCATCGGTGCGCTTTCCGATCGGAATCGACGCAGTCGGTATGGCTGGCGTCGTCGCGTCGATATTTCGCCGCTTATCGCCTGGTCAAATGAATGTTGGACCTTACCCTCCGGATCGCTCATTGAGCGCGCAATGCACTCGGTGATTGCTCGTTGATTTACATTTAACCGGATCCGACAGGATCCGACTTATACAAGGGACCGGCTGTATACCTACACCGAGGTAAACGCCCCACTCCGATTAAAAACGATTTTCAATTCAGGACACGTTAATATATACGGTGGCTCTTCTACCGCTCGGTGCAGAAATTCGAGTTTGATAACGCCTATCTTATATGAGAAATGTCGAGTTTGGGGTATTTTAAAACTCGACTCGTCTGGGAATAATCGATGCATGGGCCGAATTTAACAAGAGCGCACTCGTTATTTCTGGACGATCCCTTCGCGGTACACTCGTGGGCGCCCACGAGCGAGAAAGAGCCGCGAAATGGCTTTAATAAATACAGGGACAGCCATTCAATCGGTCCTCGTCATCTGGTGAATATTAAAGCAATTGATGCGGCACACATGAATCTTGGTCGGTACGGCGTTTGCAAATTGCTCGGCGGTGGGCCCCTCTGATTTATGAATATCGGCTCCCAATCACTGGTGCCAACTTTCGCTCGATCGCCGCCGAGGAATATCAAATTTCGGATCCGGCGTGTTTCGACGGCTGCAAATCAGCCGCGCTGTACCCTCAATCGTTTACGTATACATATAACGAATCACGCAGGCGCTCAATCAAATCTCAATTTCCGCTTTATTTGCGGGCCCGGCGATTTGGCCGATCGAAAAAGGATGATTTAACGCGATCTTGAGATCCGGGGGTTTTCGGCCGAAAATCGGGTACTAGACCGATCGATTAGACGTTTGCCAGTTTTCCCACGCGTAGGGGATTTCGCGGAAGCAATTAAAAATGTAATTAACCGGTAACGATGTTATCCCACGAGTGGTTAATGAGTTCCGGGAATGTGGAAACGCGTCGAAAACGTTAGGGCGAAGTAACGACAGAAATGTTAATGATTATTTATTATTTCGCAAGGTCCTCGTCGGTGCTCGCCGTGCTCCAGTTTCCTGGGAGGGGGAGGGAGAGAGGGAAAGCAAGAGGACAAGAAACGCGGTTTATACCGCGGCCCTGTTTACCTGGGGAAAATTGAACAGCTGATACCCGAAGACTGCACCATTTGAAATCCAATCTCAAAGGGATAGCTCCGAGGGGAGGAAACCCGGGAGACAAGGAAATCGGCATTGCCGTAATACGTCGAGCCATCGGAGGTCAAAGGAAGGAAGGAAATCCTGCGACTTCGAGACACAGAGCGCCGTCCAATCAGGGATGGCCCTGGTCCGAAGGTCGGTATACCTCGACTGCGATTGGTCGATCGTCTGCGTCTTGGGACCCGGTTTTATGGCGATTCCTCGGCCTAGGGTATTTCACTCGCCAGGGATCTTGACAGCTGTCAAGCTCGCTCGCGAACGAGAGCGATGTGGATTTTAATGAGGGAGGTGTGCGGCCTCCCGCGAACCGCCATACGGCCGCGATTTGACGCCTTTTCCGCGTCCATTTGCGGCCTCTCCGTTGACTTTACGACAAATGCTCATTTTTCATCCGACCGTCATTTTACGAGGTACGTCAATTTCGCGCCGCGTTCTAATAGGGAAAGTGCTCGTGTGGAGGTTGCAATTTCCTGGACACGTACACGGAGGCATCTAATGAATAGCCCGGTAAACGTCGGCCCATTAGGCGCAGATTCTTTCCTCAAACTTGGGAATTTCAGTCATGCTCGGCCCATTATCCTTTTCTGTATTATCTATTTCTCAAAGACTCGGTCGAAAACGAATCACCTCCGATTAAGCGAAGCGATTTACGGGGAGAATTTCAGCCTTTTACCGGGACTTTGGGCGCCACTTTACCAAATCTCGGGACGATCCCTCTCTCTCTCTCTCCGTCCCTCCTTCTCTCCCGAGGCTTAAGAATCGTGCCACGGCCTTTTGTCCTCGGTGACGGCATTCACTTTCCGCAAAAGGAACACTCAATTATTACCGACAGCCTCTCGCGAGAGAGCCAATTGTCCTTAGCAATGAATTCCCCCGGTCTCGACTACTCCTTTTCCTCTTCTTTTTTTTTCTCTTCCTCCTCCCTCCTCCGCGCAATGAATATTCCACCGTTGGCAGAGTTATTATTTCGCAAAAGCAAGGAGAGGCCTCTTACGTCGCGCCATTAATTCGACCGGCCGAGTTTCCCGCGTCGGAATACCCGCGGCCACACTTTCCGTCCCCTTTCCACCTTTCGCCGTAAAATCGGCCCTCAGGAGCGATCCGGATACTTCGCACTCGAAACTTCGTCCATTTTTCCGTGCGGGAACTCAAAGTGGTCCCGTAACTCGCAGCCGATACTTGGCCTCGCTATAAGATACGATTTTTTATAAGTACAACTATGTTCCAGTTTCGGTAGGCAGGACCAAACGACGCACGCCCAAAGTCATTGAATATGAGCAGAGGCACCGGACAACTTCCCTCCAATTAACGCCATTAAGCGCTGATTATCCATTAACGGAGGCTTCTATTAACTTCACCTTTAATTGCGCGATGACAAGTGCCCGGAGAACGAGAAGAGTCAATTCATTCAGCGCAATGTATCTCGGGCTGACACGTGGCCCTCGTGATGAAACAAAATGGCGGCCGACGCCAGCAGGTCGCCCTAAATCAATCGACACGAGGAGAGACATGGCGGGCCAACTTTCGCATCCAGACGAGGAAACACGCTGATAGAGAAGGTGAGCGATTCTCCACACACGGGAGAGCCAATCGAAAGTTTAACGCGGTCGCCGACGTCATCGGTGTCCGCCATAAAGCGAGCCATTTCGGCCCGTCCTGACGGGAGTCGTCGAGAGACGCAAAAACGCCAAGGACCCGACTGGCCGATGTTAAACCAGATAAATAAATAATATTAATATGTAAACCGCGACAGTAGGTAATCGCAAGATACCTATTGCTGATTAACGTGGTCAAGAGCGGGTCCTCTGTGAGGACACGCTCGCCATAACGTTCCCCCCCATAACGCAAGCTTTTACGATCGCTGGTTCTGCTCGTGGAGGGCTTACGATACAAAGCCTCGGACGAGAGGATTTGGATAATGGCAGTTTAATTTTTCACAACCACGCTAATGAAAATCGGGCGGACTGTGATCGGGTGTCTTTTTTTTTTTTCAGGGTTGCGGCAAGTTTAGAAGAGAGAGAATTATTCCAGAGGAGACACGCCGAGGTATCGGATGCTCTAAGAGATGCTGAGGATGGGAAACGACAATGTCCAGGAGGCGGATTAAAGATATGCCACCAGCTGCGACATCGATCCGAGGGAGTATGTGGAGTTTATCCCGCGCCCGAGTTATCCGCCTCGGTTTTAACTTGTTGCACCGCCTCGCGCCGAGATGGCGCTAAAATCGCGATATCCCGCCACGTCCCGCGTGGGACGACAAAAAAAATGGAGATAGATAATTTTCTGGTCGTTCTTTTTCATTCTGTGTAGGAACGTTCTCTGGGGTTTCTGGTCTCGTCCTGGACTTCGCGGTTTCACTGCTATCGGGATCGGCCTCGAGCCTGAGAATTGACGTTCTTGCAGAAGTGCAGCGCTTAGAACCCGGTGCATCGATTTGTACAGGACGTCTTCCACTTGCCACGTTTGCCCGAGGCTCGAAACCGAGTCGATAGGGTCGATATGCAAGCGTGTCAATAGGTCAAACCTTGGAGAACGTTACTCCACCGCGGGATTCGCTCAGCCGGGATCGGGTCGACGACAATTTGCAATTGGCAAGCCTTCGTTCACCGATATATGGAAGAAAGCTGGTTATCATGTCAATGGTTCATTTCGGCACTTCCGCTTCTTGGAGGGGTTCTTCTTCATTTCTGTTTGCCAGCGCCCGTTTTTTTTTTTTTTTTCCCCGCCAGGTCCATGATGCGCGCGACTGGCTAAACCGTCTGCCGATTAATTTAGGCCGAAGTGCGAAAGCGAGTACCCGCTGTTGTTTCGTGCACGGGCATAAAATCCGCGCTATCGATTGGCCGGATGTATGTTCTAAATTCGTACGGACCCCTCACGAGGACGTGCGAGTGTGCGAAGGAACCGGCGCATATGTAACCGGAGAAATGTAGGTTACTGGATCGCGTAACCGCGATCTTTTCCCACCCTGGTTTCTGCCCTTTCTCCTGGAAAACTCGATTTTTCAATTAGGCCCCCAGCCGCGAATCGCCGATGGCCTCCATCGACCCTCTCCGGATTTTTAACGCCGCCATTAATCGGAATGCCACGAAATGATTAATTACTTAGCATTGGTCATTCCTGACTACAAGACTATGTAATATATATATCTATTTTTTATGGTAATTTGTATGGCAATTGCAGGCTTTTTTTTAGATGTTCAATGCAGTAGGCAACGAGATCCCTTTTTCGGGGGTCCTCGGGGATTTAAATAGCCCCCTGGCAGTCTTCTTCCAAGGGTGAGGTCAAGATCTCTGCCCCCGTCCTACTTCCGCCCCCGACTCATCCTCGTATTATTACATGAACGGCACTATTAGCGAACCACTATTATTACCATTAATAAAACGCGCCCCTCGTGTCGGGCTCTCTCCCTTGGACTTTAAATAGCTTACACTTGTCGCAATCTTTGCATCTACCAAGGGTGAGGTCAAGACTTGCCGCACCCTACATTTACTTCCACCCACCGCCCACTTGCGCATATATATCTGTACGTATGTATGTACAATGCATGTGCACCCACGACCTCGCATACTTTCTCGGGGGAGAAATTCTTTCTCTCCCTCTCTCTTCTTTACACAGAGGGGGTGGAAGTTGCGGCATCGCGATCGCAAACGTGTCAGGGAAATTTCACCCCCGAGGGGGTGCCTACGGAGGTGGTGGATTTTTTTAGAGATCGATTGACCGACTGGGCAAATTTCAGAGGGTGGGGCGGTTTAATTAAAGGTCTTAATGGCTAGGTAGGTCTTTTAGCGTTTCAGCTGCGATTTCTCAACCTAGGGGGTGGACGCGCGGGTGCGACGTGTCCCACCCACGTTTGTCAACAGTGCCAACTATCGGCCTAAACACCTACGGTCCCCCGATGTACAGGACGTGCTCGTTCATCCGTTTACAAGCTGACGTGGGCGTGCACGAGACAGACGTACGCCCACGCTTTGCGTGCAACAGGGGTGCACTCGCACCCCTTTAATCCCGCGACCGCGAATTACCGGCCGGAGATTAGCGATTTTGTCCTCCCACCCCTTCCCATCTCGATGTAACGTATACTGATGATAAATGGCAAGGAAGACTTCCCTTGGCGATCGCGTCATGCGGTAACACCCTAATTCTGGAAACCGAGCTAATTAATACGTGACGCGCATACATGCATACGCACGAAAACAGCGCTTTAGTTAATGGGGATAAGTGGGACAATTTCATAATTAATTAGACTTGATGTCTGGGGCATAGGGTGGACTTTATACGTCTTGAGAATCTTGCAGCCATTCGTGACTTTCCCACCCTCCGCGAGTTTCGGTAGAGTACCTAGATGTGTAGTTGCGTAACGAATGTACTGGCGAGTAGCCTCGGTGCAAGTACCGAATCTTGGTACGATCGGATTACCCGGTTGTACAGTCAGGTGTAGGTCGCGTGACGGCGGGACAATTGATTTTCCCTTTTCTCCTTTTCTTTTCCTGGTACCGCGTTGACCAGAAGTGCAAACCGGCCTTGAAGAGCGCTCTCAATAAGGCGTAAGGGCACGGAAAAGTCGCGTTAATTGCGAGGGTCATAAAATGCAAGGCGTGACCGCGGGCGGGACGTCATGTAAAGACAAGTGTCGCGGTTGTTACGATTATACGAGGGCACTTGGGGATCGTCGTTCTAGTTTTATTTTTATCTCCTCCCTTGAGCGAGCCGTTGGATCCGCACGAGTCACTGCCGGCCCCTCTGGCGGGATTTTCTGGAATTAAAGGGATATGAACGAGTCAGCCTATATACATGTATCGGTCATTGACGGTCATCGAATGAACTTTCGGGCCCGTCCGGGCGGGGTGGGCGGAAACGTGGGCGGTTTGGCAAGGGTGCAGTCGTGCCCCGGCGGAGAGGGTGGCGGGGGCTGAAGGGAGGAGGACCCCCGGGTAAAGTGAGATCAATACCGGCAAAAGCGTGGCACGCTCGCGGACCCGCGACCGACCAAACCGGAGCGGACGTTTCGGGACGGCCGATCGTGCGTTTTATCCCACCCTGGAGGAGAACATGTCGTTATGAGCGACCTCGCATGCGTAGCGCCCGTAAAATCCCCGCTACTAACGAACTGACGGTATGATTTCTGTGTTTTATATATTTTTTTTTTCTTTCTTTGTTCCAGCCACTTCGACCGGTACACGACACCTGGACAATTTCAAGAGGATATCGAGAAACCACCCGGGTAAATTTCACTGCTTTAGCGGCTCATTTGTTGGATTTGTTTTTATCATAAGTAAGATTTACAATGGGCAGATACGTCATGGGGATGTGAATTTTTTTTCATGGTTTCAGGAATTTAACGTCGTGGGCGCGGATGCCGATGTCGCGCGTCGCGTCCTTCCCTCGCTAAGAATAAGGCTGAGTTGGCGACTAAGCGACTTCGATTCCAGTGACGTCACAAGCGGCCATTAATCATGCATCTTGCGTGGAAGCTCCTTCGCACCTACGCAAAGCTCCGTGCAGTCGCTCGAAGTACACACTAGCTATAAATAATTATTGATTCCCATCAGCTGTCGGGGCGCGTATCGCCGGCCGAGACCGACTGCATACGTGCTGCATTAATTTCCCATTCGCAGTTAATGCACTCGTTAAGAAGCGGGCCTTTAACTAGTCGGACGACCCGTTCGCGGGACTCGTCGGTTTCCACGAGAGATCTCCGACGGATCTCTTCTTGGCAGCGATTTAGAATTAAATATCCCTTTAATTTTGACATAGGGAAAAATTGTTCTCGGACATTGTCATACCTTTAGTAAGATGAGCTCCTTGCCGGCGTCTCTTCTCCGGAACGGCGGAAAGTTACGCACACGTAAGCAACGGCAAAGCGCGAAATTCCGCGAGGTCCCTTCATTCCTGTTTTTTTTTTTTTTAATATTTTCTTTCCATCGAGAATGGATTTTCAGCCGTGAGGTCACAGAAAACACCTTTCTCTCCGTCCAGCTGTTTCTCGCGTGTTTCTCTATTTACCCGATTCACGAGGCGCAAGGTGTTGGTGCACCTGCACACCTTTAACACACACGATCGAACGTAACAGATGACCTTACGCGAAGTCCAGATAGAACGGGAAAAAGCTGGATAAGAGACCGTACCTGTTGAAACGAGGAAATCAGCGGCACCTGGCCCTCGTCGTATCGACTCGCAACAAGTACACCTATCCCTCTCCTGGTGACGTCACCACTAAGTGCACCCGAAAAAGGACCACTGCGAAAATCTAGCCCGACAGGAATTCGGGGACCTGCCCTCGCGAAGTGCCTCGGCGGGGAGCAAATAAGAAAAGCGAACGAAAAGTGGAAAGCCATTGCGGGTACATCGAGCTTTATTGTGACACACAAGAAGAGTCTTGCGCCGGGACTGGTACAATTGACATCGAAAGCGGTTCCCTCTCCTTCCCAGGGTTTGGTGATCTTTCCGAGATCTAGAATCTTTTCTTCCCGGATTTTTCCTCATTTCTTTTGTTGATTCTTTGCGCCCTTTCGCTTAGCGCTAAGGGCCTACTCCGAAGGGAAGGAGAGGGAGGTTGAAATTATTTACGTATCGAGCGGTAACAAATGTTGCGTACATGAGAGGATTGTTCTCCTGGTTAGGCAGCTGCGCGGCATTGGACCTCCTTGGTCGCCACAGAGCCAGCCACGCGAATCCGTACTTCGTCATAGTCTTCAGGATCTCGAGGTCAGTCTCGGTCTCGGAGTCCTTTTTTCGACCTCGTGGCGGAGACGTCCATGGGGGTCCTCGTCGATCGGGCTAATTTAATACCCTCGATCTTCGAGTCCTTGAAGGGAAGGGGTCCTTTCCAGGATCCTGGACCTGCCTGTTCCGAGACCGCGTCACCGGGGATCCTGGAGAACCTCTTCAGGGGTCTCGATGATCGAATGTCTCCTTACGTTGGATTATTATTTTATCCCTGGTCGGCGCAACGCGAATCTCGATGAAATTCCAGGATCAGAGACGAGGACTCTGCTTTATGCGCTCCCTGTTGAATCCTTCGAGCGCAATTACCTCGCCTAATTACTGTATTCATTTTCTCGAGGATTGCGCGGCTTCGGAGAATTCCGGGATCGCCGATTCCTCGTCACTCCTTCCTCTGCAGGACACTTCCCAGGACTCTCCTGGTCCTGTCGATGCACTTCCGCAGGATGCTGCGGAATGACATGACCCTCTCGCGAGGTCTAGCATCCCAGCTCGCCGGTTCCCAGGGCGGATCTGCCCTGATTTCTGTCCCACCCTTAATCGGGATAATTGTTATCACCGGCTGATCGGCATCTCGTAACGAGGTCCTTGCTACTTCCGATAATATATGTCGGGATCGATTATCGGCCAGATCGATCGGCGCAACTCACGCGCTAAATAGGTCCGTTTCGCCCGATCGGCGAAGAATCGATTACCCGGCGATCGATCGGCCTATTTTTACCAGAGAAACCAGGTTACAGCCCGCTCAACCTCGGACTTAAACCGGCGTCGGAGCTTTCGGCGCTTTCGTCGATTTTCCTGCGGCCCCAAAATCTGGGAATCGATTTCTATTGGCAAGCTCAACGAGCGATCGATTCGCCAAAGCGTTGGCAGCGAGCGATTTTTTTTTTCCTTTTTTTTTCTTTCGGGCAGCGTGCTCTAAAGCCCTCGCAAGCGGCTCGAGAAAAGCCCCAAGAAGCTCGCCGAAGGGAATACAAACGTGCGTAGCAAAAATATCGTGGTATATAATATCTCGGTAAGAACGTCGCTCTCTTGAAGAGAGAGATAGAGACCGCCTATCGGCTAAGATTATTACGCGTGTATATGTCGCTGGGTGGAATTACCGGTGATTGAAAAGCACCGGAGTGTAAGCTCCGAAATTTACCTAGCCGATTTATCCCTCGCGAGTTAAGCTCCGATTAAGCGACAGCTTTCGGCCATTTTTCCCCATGACTTCGTTTCTTCTTTTCTATTCGCCGTCTCTTCTATTCTGGATTTCCGATCCTCTGTTCTCCTCCGAGCTTTCTTCACGCCCGATAAGCTCGTAAAAAGCGAAGCCGGCAATCGCCTTGAATCGCGATGGTTAGGCAGCAATTATTAAGGTATACCTCGGCTCGATTAATGACTAATAATACCAAAAGCACCGACTTAATGACTTACTCGGGGAGCTTAATTAGTTTCACTCTTGTCGAACACCGTTTTATCCATCCGAGGGCTGATTAAGCTCGGCCTGAATTGACTTGCTCTATTTCTCTCTTTCATCCTCTTAGCGATTCCACGTACTTGTGGTACTCCTGAAATGCTGGATTTGCCCATATCGCGCTTTTCTTGAGCTTTCCTCTTCTCTTAGCATTTTTTTTCCTTACTGGATCTCTCTTCGGCCCCACGTGCCATCGAGCTTTCTCGACTTGACAGCCCTGTCAACCCCTGGCCCCCCTGCCACTTTGACACTCGCGCGGAGCTTTCGCGCTGCCACTCGCGATACTTTCGCGCATTAGCGTGAATAAAGCTCGACGGGGCTCTGGCTGGACTCGCAAGCTCCAATCGGGCGTCTCGGTTGTCAAGGCACTGGGCATGCGCCCTGGTCGACAGACCTCAAGCTCTCCGGCGGATCGTTCGGGCCGGGCTGGCGCTTTCGGGCTGGCTTTTTTCTCCCTGAGCTTTCCCACGGGCTCCCCCCGATTCGGGAAAACGAAGCTTTTTAAGGCCTCGTCCATGGACGACGAGCGATAGTCACCTCGGCATTGACACCCTCAAGAGCTTTCTTGATTTTGTATGAAAGCTCCTTCCCCTAAAGTACCTCGAAATCCTCGAAAGCTCAACGACAAACCGCGTGGGATACCTTTAATACTTCCTATAAATTCGGGTTTTCCTTCAAATTTCAGATCTAGCCCTGGAGCTTGCGAGCTGCAGCGAGGGGGACGGAAATCCGATATCTCGACTGGTTTGGAGGGATTTTCACGGATCGAATTCTAGCGGCGTTTCCAAAATTTCTTGGATTCGTTCCGAAGATTAGGCTTCCTGGGTTTCCGAGGTCGCTCCCGGTGTCGTTTCGAGCAACCCGAGGGTTCGGTGTCGAGACGCTTGCAAGCTTTAACGAGGCTTGAAGTCATTCCCGACGTCTCGCAGGGTGGTTTGCAATTTAGACATCCTCAGTTTCCGAAGTCTCCTCCTCCCCTTCCGCGAGATGGCACCCTCGGATCCACCGGGGGTCGATACGACTTATCGCGCTCCTTCGAAGAGTCCCTCTAAAAAGCCTGACATTTAACCGCGCACATATGGCCTCGTCAATTAGATCGATCGAATACCAGGTGAAACCCTCCCTCGTGACTGGGAATCGCGGCCTACCGACATACCTCGAGGGCGACCTCGAGAGAGCCTTCCTTGGACGAGTCCGAAACTCACCCCCGAGGGTCACCCCCCGAATCCCGAATCACTGATACCGTCAGTCGATATCCCCGTACCAGGGGGGTGGGAATTTATCGGCGACCCGGTTCTCGGTGCACTTTGGGAAAATCGATGCATCTCACTGGCACGAGTCAACCTCTTCCCGTTGGAGCGTCCTCTCGCGCACCCCCGTTGTCGTAGGTCAGGTCGCGGGCTCGGACGGCCTTTCGGAAGCTGGACGACACGCCTCGATGGGGTGACATGTCTCACTGGGTCGACTCGACCCTTTTCAGGGTCTCCCCCGAAATCCAGGCCGGAGGTCCCTCGGGATTCCCCCCAGGTTCCGCTGCTCCTGGGACCGGGGATTCGCGAGCTTCCACCCCTGGAGGACTCCACTCGACGAACAGCCCTCGAAATCGCGGAGGATCCTTTCGGGAGACGACACCTGTCACCCCTATGGATTCGGCCCACGGTAACGTCGAGAGGGACGCGCGCAGGCGCGGGGCGTCGCGACGGCGGCGTCGCGACCAGCGAACTCGCGAACCTCCGATGGCAACGATTTTATTATTTTTCCATTCACCCTATCCCGAGCCCCTCTGAAAAAAAAACCGGATCGCGTGTATTATTTAAACGATTCCACCCCCCTTCAACCACCCCCCAACCCTTGCGCGTCGCGATGCCAGAAAAGTGGTCCCTGGTGATTCGGAATTTATTTCAACCCTTTTATTTATAGGGCCGATTCCGTATTTAGTTACCTCGCTCCCGGTCTAAGGGGTGGAGGGATAAAATTGGGGCTGTTAAAATACCCGGCCGATATTTCCTTATATCCCCGGTAGCTCAAAATAATTCTCTTATATTTTCTATATATTAAACGAACATCGTACACGCTTTGTAAATATTTAGCAGACATCTGAAACTGCAATTACACCGTTTTATGCTGAAAATCATCAGGAGCATTGTTGTATAAAATGGCAGGTTACGATAGCGCGAAACTGGCACGACGATAAAAGTCCATCGTTCTATATGAAATAAAAATTCCCTCCGAGGTATCGGGTGATCGTAGAATTGTTAGAATGAAATTAAACAATTACATCGTTTACTTTTTGCCAACGACCCAGATAGGGGAAACTTCGGATCCGTGCAGATAATTATCCATCTCAGGGGGGTGGAAGCCCCATCGTCGATTGGCGGAGACGTCGCGACCCTTCCATCGGTACAGGGGACGTCTGGTATAAATGTATAGGAATTATTGCGAGGCTTCGTAGGCCCCCCTCCCGTCCTCCCCGGAGACCAGGGTAATGTTTACAAAGAGCCGCTTTTCAGTCCGGGGGGGAGCGGGAGGGGCCTAATTGAAATTGTATGGCCAAACAAAGCGACTTCTTGAGCGACCTCTGGGCGCCTTGGGCTCTTCAGGGTCCCTCTCTTTGTGTCAGTGGCCCGTAGGCCTTCGGACAGGGCAAATCCTCCGGTCTACCTCGACTCCTTCCTGAAGAGCACTCCATTATTCAGGGGAAACGCACACGCTTCGGGGTGACATCGTCTAAGGGTGGATACTCCAATTCGGGCTTCCCCTCTTTGCCGTTCTACCGCAGAGTGACTGGGAATTGCTTCCGGGGAAGACGGTCCTTCAGGTGGGAGGAATAAAATTAGAAATAACGCTGTTATTAAAGGGAATAATTGCGAGCGTCGGTGGTAATTAACCGACGGGTGGCGACGCCCCCGGGGGTGGGAGTACCTTCTGGTAATGAATATTCGTAATGGTCCGGCGCATTAATATCGAGCTCCCTTGATGAATATTCCTATTAGACCCCCCGATTCCTCGGAGTTTCGAAATCCACGGTTCCGGAAGTGGGAACGAGCTTAGCCTCGTGAGTGCGCGGATGTTATCGGGGTTATCGAGTGAAGGAAAGAAAGTTCGGCGAGGGACCAGCGGATAAAGAGGAGGAAGACCAGAGGCTAAGAGGAGGAAGAGGACCACCGAATAAAGGAGAGGAAGAGGACCAGCGATAGGCCAGAGCGATCCAGGAACGCGGCACTGGTGAGTGAAATTAGCATATATCTTTATCACCCTCGCAACACATTGTATTTCGGTTTATATTGTACATATGTAATACCTGCGGTGTATACTAAATGCGTCGTTGCTAATATTGGTAATAAGTGAGGGATGATTTGAGGGACCATTCACTCGAAAGTCAGTCGATCCGATGTCCCTTGAGAACCGATTGCCATCGTGGGATAAAATAATAAATCAGTAAATTTCTCTAACAATGAGAAGAATATAATAAAAATTCAACTCGGTGACCGCGATCGAAAATTTCGAGTGGAGGGTTTAGAAAATCCGGCTCCAATTAATGGAAGGAGTCCGGTCGATCGAGCCTGGAGCGTCGCGAAAAATCGGCAGGCCCTGTTCGCGTGTCCGAAATTAATGGGAGGCTTTCGGGTCCACTCTGGCGAGCACCCCGTCGATATACATAATACTCGACGGAAGGGAGAAATTCCCGACTCGCGGCGGTGGAAATCAATAGGACGATGAAAAACGCCGGTTCCGGCACAAAGCCGATTGCAGTCGCCGGACCGATACGAGCCGGAACGGTAGAATGTTTATAAAGTATTAGCGCCCCTTTTTTTTTTCCTTTTTTTTCCCTACAATTCGGGCGCGCGAAAGCTCACCCACGAGGATATATATATATATATGTAAAAATGTAGATATATATTTTTATATATATACCCGAAGTGTGATACTGGACGGATGAGCTTTATAAATAAGCCCGTTATCGGATACATCGGGCCGGCTATTTCCGTATATCGATCAATCGATGTTAAGGTCAGGCGTGCACCATGAGTCGAGTTTCGTCCTGTAAATTAATCCTTGACTTACTTTCCCCCCGGGGGGTGGGCGAAGGGTGGACTCGAAAGTCCTTTCATCCCTCTCGCGTCGATATTCAGAGGGCATGGCGAGAAGTTGGAGAGATTTTCCGGAGGGATTTGTATTTTTGCCCTTGAAAGAAAGGATTGTGCCCTCTCGACGAAGCTCCCGAAATGTCCCTTTTTTTTTTTGTCCACCGACGGATTTTATTAATGGAACGGCCAGGGGAACCCGGGGTGGGAGATTCCCCGCGTTCCCGAAATTCCGTGTACCCGGTAGACCCTTTTACGAGTTCCCCCCGTGGAATTTGAAAAAGGGAATTTTCCGCAGCCTGGGGGATTACTCCCCGGGGTATTTGTGACGTGGGTCCGGTCCGCGCCCTGAAGAGACGCGCGAGGAGTGACCGCGGACGTTCATCCGGTCGCGGCTCGTAAAAATCTGAATTTCAAATGGCGGCTTCGCTCCGATGGCACATCCCTCGTAAAGGATTGCTCCGAAATCATTGTCCCTCTCGGGCGTTAAACTCCCTTGAAGACCTTCCCCTCGCGACTCCGTGCCAATTTTCTACCCTTAGCCCTCCACCCCCACGCCAAGGTACTTCTTTTTACGGCGAGGCCGACTTGATCTAATACACAGATTTAAGTTATGTCAAAGATAGAAAAATGTAATGCGTGTACCCAAGAACGCATTCCCTTTTTTTTTTTTTTTATTTAGTAGAATAAAAATCCTGGGCTGAGGGGTGGAATATAAGAAATAAAAAAGTGCATCCTGGAGCCATCTCCCAGGATTCGAGCGTTTCTACCTCGCGTTTGCTCCGCGGATAGGAAAGATCGGGGAAACGCGGAGGCGCACCCGGTGGCGCCGCACGGCGGCGCCTGGCGGAACAACGTGCAGCTTGAGAACTCGCGATAGAGAGAGAGAAAGAGGGAGGAAGAGGGAAGGAAAGAGAGGGGGTCGCCGTGCCACCTGGGAACGGCGGCCGGCTACCAATTATTGATCAAAGAAACGGCGCCAAGTCGAAAAAGAAGGGAAAAAAAGAGAGAGAGAGAGAGAAAGAGAGGGAGGGCTCCCCCGAAAATATATCCGGGGCTTCTCCGTTTCTCGTCTCCAGGGAACCCCCCTGCCGACCGCCGTCGAATAATAATCCGCGGAAATTGTCTTCGCAATATCTCCGATCCCTCCACCTCCGAGGGGGGCTTAACTCGATCGAGACGAATATCGATGTGACCCCCCCCCCCCCTCCCCCCCCCATTATTTATCACACATATTTACTCCATGTACGGCGAAACGTCGTTTTCACTTTCCTTCATCCGTGGAAAACGAACGCCGAATCCTTTTAATGGCTCCCCGGGTTCCGCTACTCTCGGGGGAGGAACTTCCCTTTTTCTCTTTCACCTTTTCCTTCTCCCTTTGTTTCCGTGCAATGAAATTAGGGGAATTTCGAGCTGGACTTCCTACCCAGATGCGTCCTGCCCAGGGTTGGGTAAATAAAATACCCTAAGTACTTGGTTCTTTTTTTTTTTGACAGTAAATTACTAGGTATTTTACTTTACAAATTTCACGCGTGACGTGAATTACACGAATGTGGGACTTTGTTTCATCGGTTCTTGCTGGTATGCTTAAAATTGAAAATCTTCCACGGAGGGTATGTAAAAGTGGAATATTCAAGTATTTCTTAGTGGTTAGGTCTTACTTGGGATTATTCTTTATTAATCGTCACTAGACTATCCTGCTCTTGCCTATCTCCCTCTCTCTCTTTTTTTTCCCTCTGATGCGAGCAATCGTCAATGGTGCATCTAGTTGCCGATTCTCCTGCCAGGGGGTGCGCGCTCCCCTCTTCCTCCGTGTATCGCGTCGCCCTTCTTAGGGCGGGCCTAAGTTCGGCCTGTAATTGGAAAACTTGGCCCGGAGAAGGGTTTTGGACTTACAATGAAAACGGCCAGGAGGACTCGAGCTTCTGCGACGAAAGTTTCTCGTGCTTTCCCGCATAGCGGATTTCAATCCCGTGGCAACTGCACCGGGAAACAGAGAAACGCGAATTAATGACTCCGAAGGGGTGGAGGGCTACATACTTAGCAAGACGCATTCCTATATCTACGGTCTAATCTTCATCTCTCTCTCTCTTTTTTTTTTACCCCCTCATATTTTCCCATCGTTATCAGTAATAACATTTTACATCTCGGAGGGTCCCGCGGCTGAGCTCAATTATCCTGGGAGCCATGGGAATCCCTTGTAAAGGAAACAATGGGGGATTCTTTTTTTTTTCCTACCCTCCACGCTTTTCCTACCCTCCCGCGGTATATTCCGGGCAATGAAATCGGTTTTACGATCGGCGGGAATTATTGCCCTTGACTCGAGGAACGAGGATCAGCGCGATATCTTATCAGGGGGAGAGGGACGTATCGGAAGGGTCGCGATGCTAATTGCGGTAGGTAATGAGTGTCGTAAGAGGGGTTACGAGGATACGAAAAGCGCTAAGAAATTTAATCTACGTCGATAATTCCCAATCCGGGGAATACTTTCCCCTGACGATTTGACTTCTCAGATATATATGTATATATACACGTATATAGGCTCACTCTTTCATATCCTCTTAAAGGCGCACCCTTGAATTATGGCACGCGGCGACAATGAGTCCAACTGGAGTAGGAAAAAGGGCGGATCTCGGCGGCCTCCATTTAACGCGCCCAGGCGTTTTTACGGGCCAATAAATCCTCGGGGTAAGCGGAAAACGCCGCGGAAAATCTGCGTTACTTCTGCCCCAGGGGGGCGATCGAGCGCCCTCGGGTACAAGGGGGTTTTTCATCCCCCGGAAGGAGGGCGACTTCTTCCCCCGCGACGATTTCCCACCATGAGGTCTCGTTAAAGGCGTCTCCTCTGTTTCTTTTCTTTCGCATTTTCGCCATTTTGAAAGAGCCTCTTCACCCGAGACCCTCCCTTCCGATTTCCGAGCTCGCGCCTCATCGGGACCACTTGGAGATCGGAGGGTTGACAGGCGATGGGATAACTTTTACCCTCTCGAGACCTGGCCCGTAATTTCTGGGCTTAATTAGTACGCGAAGAAATTACCATACAACGCTCCGCCCGGAGGGAAGGAGGGCGGAAAAAGAATTACAAATTGCCGGGGGTGGCATCTCTTTTCCCATTTATCGGTCAAATGTGAATGCATCGAGCCGTATCTCTGTTATTTCATTTCACGGAATAACGCGACGACTTTTGGGATTAATCCCACCCTGCGCTCCCGGAGAGGGTGGGTGAGAAAAATTGGGGTTGGTGTTTCAAGTAATCCGTGGATTTGCCTTCTCAGATGTATATAATATATATAATATATACATAGGCTGACATATCACCTTAAAATTGACGGATCCACAGGGGCGACTTTCGAGGGTGCCAGGGGGAGGATTTAATTCAGAATTCCCCGGTGCAACGACTCGTAAGTCGGGAAAGGGTCGAAGACGCGGAGAGTACGCGTGCACACGGTTACACGTGTACACGCGGGTACGTGTACGCGACAAGAGCATCGATCGACCCAATTCATCGGCCGGGGGGGTGAGAATCGGGGGGGGGGTCGTCAGTCTCGAAACCGCGTTCAATTATTTCGGCGAGCTGCGAAAATTGCGCGCCACTCGTTCGGCCGGGGGTGAATCGTTCGTTGGGGGGGTGCGGAAGCGAGGAAAAGAAAAAATGGAAAATAAGGGAAAAGTCGATCACCCCTTTTTGAGACTCCCCGCACGCGAGGAGATAAGCCAGCCCCCTCATAGAAATTTTTTCGGATTTTATTAGGGCATGGTTGTCGACTATCGTTTAACCCCCTAATAGAGGGAAATATGTGTCCTATATTTTCTATCGTGTCTCCCGATTTGGCGGCAAGGGTGGTTTTTAATACGGCTGCATCCGGCGGGAGGGGGGTGGCCTGGAGGGGGTGCAGAGGCCTCGGGGGGATGGTGCACTCGATATGTGGGAGAAGGTCAAGCACCCTTCGAGCCAGACAATGAAGCACTTCGGGGTTCCTCGTATCTGGATCGGACGATTCGGGTGGCGTCGCCTCCCCCTCCCCTCCTGCCGTTCAATTTTCAAAAAATCCGGAAAAATCGGGTCGGCGGAAAATTCTATCCTGATGGAGTTCCGGAGATTCGAGGTCGCGGGGAAATCCCTTATCGTCGAGGTGCATC